GCAGGGGCCTGTGGCTGGGGGGGTGGGGCAGAAAGTGGTAGGGGACAGATTAGATGAGACAGGCTGCCTGCCCCCTGTACCCCTACTGATTGCCTATTGCCTGTCCTCCACTGCCTCCCCTCCTGCCTGATCCGTACTGCTTGTACCTCTACCACTGCTTTCTCTGCTGCTGTGGTGGTGGGGACAAATTTCAGATGACCCTCCAATAATTACATTCTATACTTGGAAAATTATGACAAATGTATACATTTTCCATATATAGAATTTAATTACTGTGGGGGGTCATCTTGGATTTGGATAAATAGGGTAACTGCTTACATCTTAATTGTTTGTGATTCATTCTGTTTTAAACCATTCTTTAATCCCTTGTGGAGTTTGAGTTTAAAAGTATGAATGTTTTCCCCCTTCACCTTCAGAATCTGAGGGAGGGGGAAAGGTCTTAAATTACCAATTGTTTGTTTGTTTGTTTGATTGAAACTCTCTCTAGGTCTGTACTGCTTGGCCCATTGCAGGCTTCTCAGGAGGAAAAATTGGCCTGAGTGGAATCACTCAGAAGAATCTGGTGGTGAAACCTGGTGATGTGGTCACAGTTCAGCCTGTGGTCGGTGCGGTGGTACAGGCAGAAGAAATTTACGTTAAGCTGAGGTTTGGAATTTTTTTGTGAATGCTAGCTACTGGTAGCCATAGAAATCTCTTTTGTAGAGATCCAAATCTGCAAGATGCATCTCTGTTTTCCATTTGAATGGGACTGCATGTGTGAATGAAGTTAAACACATTGGTAAATGTTCACAGGATTGGTGGTTGTAGCCATATTGGTCTAAGGACATAGGCCTTAGATCAGGTCTTAGACACCACCAGGTTCTTTGGGTAGATGTGATATCTTTTATTAGATTAACTAAATAGTTGGAAAAAAGTTCTTTGCAGGCTTTTGGACACAAACACCCTTCATCAGGCATCAGTAGACTCTGCTGGTGTTATGTGTCTTTTGAGGTAGAAAAAAAGCTAATTTACAACGTTCAGATCTGTGAACATACAGGTGAGTGGAAGTTTGGAAGACAATGGTTAGAGATAGGAGGGGGGGGAAAGGAAGGAAATGTGTGAAGGAATACAAGTAGTTAGCTGGAGGCAGGGTACCTGAGGTATCAGGCAGGTTGTAATTTGTCATAAATCCAATGTCTGTATTAAGTCCATGTTTTTTTGTATCCACTAGGTTTATGAAGTGAAGTTCATAGGCTTGTCTATGAAAGGTATTTTGTAAGTTCCCTTTGAGGATTAGACCTGGGAGATGAGAGAGGGAGTGATTGCCTTATGAGAAATGTGTACTCACAGGTAATTGGATATTTTTGTCTTTGATGGATTTTCACTGTGCATTCATTCTGGTACGTGGTTATTCCCGACGAAATGCACACCATTAGTTATGACCAGGGATTCTGGTTTTCTCCGATTAAAAATTGCAAATTCTCTGATTTAAAAACCCAAAATCTGTGATAAAAATTAAAGTCCCTTTCCCCTGCCCCCAGCACTGCTGGTGCCCTGCACTTCCCCACCCCAGTCTCAGCAGCCCTCCTGATGCCCCTTGCAGCAGCCCCCCCAGACCCACAGACATACAGACACTGACACCCACCCCAGCAGGCAAGTGTTTGTGGGGGGGGGGGGAAAGGGAAGGTGCTGGGGGGTGGTAGATCAAGAATGGGGGGAGTGTGCCCCTGTGCCCACTCCCAGGAGCAGGGCCAGGGTGTGAGGGCAGGGGTGCCACTCTGTGGGCCACACACATGCCAGTCGGCCTGACGGGAGGTTCGCACACGGAGGCTGCCACCACAACTCTGCCACTGCGCCCTGCACTACCATCCCACGGCCACCCTAATGGCTTTGTGGGTAAGTGACACAGGGCATGGCAGCAGCAGTGTGATGGCAACCACCATGGGCAGGCCACATACGTGCTGCTTGGCCAGGGGGTGAAATGGGGGTTTGCATGCAGCAGCATGCCCTGCAATCAGCTGCGTGGCTCCATGGCGCTGCGGGGTGGTGGCAGCTGCATGCAGGGTGAAGGGGCTTTGTGGTCAAGCGCTGCCACAGTGGAGCCATGCCCTTCGCCCCTGGATCCTAGAGGTAAGTGGTCTTTGGGGGCTGTGGGGCAGAACTGGGGAAGATGGTTGGGGGCTGAGGGAGTGGGGGTGCTGCCAGCCCCAGGCAGCACATTGCAGCTGCGAGCAGGGCCAGGGGGTGAGGGCAGGGGTGCCCCTCTGTGGGGGCACTTTGCAGGCAAGCGATGTGGGGCACAGTGTAGTAGTGCCCGCCATGTGCGGGCTGCACATATGCCGCCTGGCTGGCTGCCCGAGGGAGGGGGAGGGGGAGAGGGAGGCTGGCATGCGGCCAGAGCACAGCTCCATGGCCGGCTCTGCAGCCACAGCGAGGGATGAGGGGGGAGGGGGGCGGGGGCTTGGGCTTGCATGTGGCAACTGCTGTCACTTACCTGGAGGCTCGTAATGGCGGTGATGGATGCTGCCTCCAAAACCTCCCGCTGCCGCCACGGAGCCGTGCTTGCAGCTGTGTGGCCGGCTGCTGGGCGGCAGCGGCAGTATGGTGGTAGCCGGGCTGCACGCAGCGGGAGGTTTTGGAGGCAGCAGCAGTTACCGCTGGCACGAGAAGCTGCTGCTGCTTTCCTGTGGGGCCACCCATGCCAGTGGTGATGGCTGCTGCATGCAAAACCTCCTGCTGCCACCGTGAAGCTGTGTCGGAGCTTTGTAGCCGGCGGCAGCAGCGCAGCCTGGGGTGGTGGTGGCCGGGCGGCACACAGCCATTCCCATCCCCACCACCACCATGTTGCCGCTGCTGCCCAGTGGCCGGCTGCACAGCTCCAGGCATGGCTCTGTGGCGGCAGTGGGAGGTTTTGGAGGCAATGGGCCTCCAGGTAAGTGGCAGTGGCAACCACGTGCAAGCCCAAGCCCCTGCCCCTGCACCCCCATCCCTCACCACAGCTGCAGAGCTGGGCATGGAGCTGTGCTCCAGCTGCTTGCCAGCCTCTCTCTCCCCCTCCCCAGGGCAGCCGGCCGGGCAGCATGCGGGCAGCCCACACATGGTGGGCACTGCACCCTGTATCACTTGCGCCCCGCCCTGCAGATGGGCACCCCTCCCCTCATTTCCTGGCCTGCCTCCCAGCAGCGATGTGCTGCCTGGGGCCAGCAGCACTCCCTGCTTCCTCAACCCCCAACCACCTTCCCCAGCCCTGTTGCACAGCCCCACTTACCTCCATACTCCAGGGGCGAAGGGCAAGTCTGAGCCTGAGTCCGGCCTTGGCTGCCTCAGAGGCTCAGGCCCTGCCCTCCCCCCTCTCCCTCCCCCTCCAGCCAGGGCTGGGGGTTTCCCGCCCTTTCTGCAATTGGCTCTTGCAGGCTGGAGCTGTGCCAGCCTGCAAGAGCTCTTTGCAGAAGTGGAGAATCCGCGGATTTTTCTGCTAAAAAGAGAAATCCACGTTTTCGCCGATTAAAAACAGGGAATCCGTGGTTTTCTCCGTTTTTCCTTGGGAAACGGAAAACCCGGATCCTTGGTTATGACAGACTGTTCTTCCCTGTAACCTATACAGAAAATCCTCGAACAGTTTCAACCCATACTACAAGAAAGACCCTATTTTTAAAGAGATCTTTTCAGAACCACCCATCCTAGCCTTTAAATAAGCACCAAACCTCACTAACTTTATCACCAGAAGCAAACTTCTGATGACCCAAATCACACCGGATGTAAAACCTGCTAACACATCTCCACCAGTCCCACAGTAGCTACACCCCACAACAGAACCATCACCATTCCTGGATCTTACCTGCACCTCCAGAAATGTAATAGATCTCATCCAGAAAAGATGTAGGAGAAACCAAATGAGAACTAAGTACCAGAATGAATGCACACCGAAAATCCATCAAAGACAAAAATGGGGAGAAGTTGCTGCTTGTCTTCTAGTCCCTGGAGTCACCCTGGTCCAGCAAAGGTGCAGAGGGCTGCTGCTCATGCCCCTCACATAGGCCAGGAGGGAATGGGAGGAGCAGCAGCTCCTTGATCTTCACTCATTCCCCAGACTGGGTTACCTGGTATAAGGAGCAGGCAGGGGGCTTTGTTCTACTGCTTCAGTCCCCCTGGGAATTAGGAGGACTGCTCCCAACACTTTTCCCATCACGCAGTCCCAGGAAGGCACAAGGAGCAGGGCAGAGGGTGTGGTTGCAGGCTGAACACCTATATGGTTCCGTTTCCTGGAAACATTTCTGGTGGTGGAAAATTTCCATAGCTAGAAATGAACACCTGTTCATGGTCACTGTTTGCAGTTTCCTCTGACTTTTCCCACATTCCCCCATGCAAAGCTGCTCCTGTCTGACTTCTCAGGGATCTTAATTTGCATCTCTGTGTAGAATGCAGATTGGAGAAACAGATTGGAGGATCTAGCCCAGAAGAGCCTCACTTGGGAGCAGCAGTGACATATCTAGGCTTTTAGTATGGTACTGGGATATGAAAACGGAATGAAAGGGGCACGGAAGTGAAAGGGGCAGCTGTATCTCGAGACTTGCAGTGAACTTCTGGATTCCTTTGATTTGTGTCAGAAGCTTAATTGTCCCTTAAAAAAATTTATAGCCGTCATAGTTTTGGGGAAAAGCTTGAAAATGTCAACATTAAAGATAAATTAGAACACAGCATTCATTATAGTTTTAGACTCTTCTAACTTGAATGCTTACTCATGCCATCTGAACACTTGGCTTGGGTAGTATACCTAGCCCATAGATGAAACAGCTTCTTGATGGACCATCTCCTTTGCTTCATTCTTTGCGTGAGTCTACATGTTCATTAATGTACTTTAGGTAATACGCATTAAATCTTGTACCTCCATTATGAGGTACTAGAAAAATGTGCATTAACCTATTTTAATGTGCATTAGTTAAAACATGTTTTTTGTGATGCTTTAATGTGCATTAAAATAGGCTAATGCTCATTAAAGTGCATGTCTAGACATACCTTAGAAGAAGTAGGAGACATGGGAGCAGAGTATAAGACTGGGTTGGGATGGGATGGAACAGAATAATGTAGGACCAGGATGGAGGAGTGAAGGAGCTGGATACAAGGTAAAGGCCCTGGAAGCATAGTAAAATAGCTAGAAAACAGCGCCTGAGGAGGAGGCAGAAACGTGTTCATGTGGGAGCTGAATGTGTACTTATTGGTAGTATCAGGGGGAATGTTTAAAAGAGAGTGCCCTAGGAGGTGCCTGCTGGGTGGAAATAGTGATGGAGGAAAGTCATCCTGCTGAGGAAAGAAGGACAAAGGAGGGAAGACACCACTCTATGATTCCTTGTTGTTTCTTACATTTTAAGTTTTCAACTTGGAAAATGTAGGCAGATAAAGGGGATTGGATAGGGAAGGAAGCAACTCAGAATGGTCATGGGCTGCAAATCATGAAAGTGTGTGATGCTTTTTCTGTTTGTTTTGTTTTTATTTTTGCTTTAATTTATAATTCATCTCCTGATGAGTTTGGCGGTCTCTTCCTTTTTTTTTTTTTTAACTTTGTGGTGTTAGCTGTTGGGTTGGTGGTGAATGCTTGAGTCCAAGTGCAGGTGTTTCATTTGCCTTTTAAAGATTTATAATATAATAGTTATTACAGATGTTTAAAGGTGGTATTTGTGAACTGTTTTCTCCTGTCCCCATTGCAAACTTCACATTTTGGATTTAACCACTTGCTTTTCCCTTTTGAAATGGGATAGACAAGCCATTTTGGTTCCCAAAAAGGGGTAACTGCCAACATCTGGATACTAGAAACTACCAACATTTGAATACTAGAAACTTAAGCAGGCTATGCCAATGTTGATACCATGATCAAACTCAGTCTAATTTAATAGGTATTAGTTGGCTCTGGTGCCTGTGCTCACACTTTCATGTTACTGACTCCTTAATAGTCAGATTGCTTTTTCGTTGTTCCTAGTCAGCAAAGTAAAACCAAACTGAACCAAAATGATGACAGCAAAATGCACGACAAACTGCTTTATGGTGTAGCAAAAGAAAGAATATCAAAAGTTTGCTTAATATTGCATTTTCTTTACCAGCTTAAGTGACTGACAATATTCCTGTCATATAAAAAGTAGATATTTGTAATTATACAAATAATTACGGAAGCAATTTTTGTGATATTGCTTATTGGACCAACTGCATTGTTAGGAGAGATGCTGGACAACATTTTAGGGACAAACTGCCCTTATCCAGATCTGGATAGAGGTAGAGGTCTCTTTAGGTAGAGGTCCCAGGCCCAAAGAAGGCTGCTTTGTCATTGAAATTTTGTCCAACATCTTTCCTTACTGTACAGCTTGTCCAATGAAAGATATATTGAAAACAACTTTTTTCTCATACATTTCCTTGTCCATCTTCGCTACAACACACTATCTGTGTGTCATGTACATATAGTAGAACGTACGTCTGTGAACTTCTTGTAGAAAAAGATTTTCCTTAACAGAGGAAGAGTATTTAATAATTTCTGAAATATTTTCAAAACTTTTCCTGACCTGAATGTTGAACCTTTTCTGAAACCACGTTCTTTCCCATGATCTCATATTTGTTCTGAGGGCCGATCTTGTAGAATATCTTTTATATACTACTATATTGTAAAACACAAATGTTGGTTTTCTGGATTTACACAGGTAGAGAAAACAAAGAATGATATGTCACATTTTAAGCCACTCATTACTACAGACCTTAACACTTCCCTTTTTTTGGTAAACATATTAGATTTTTACAATAATGAAATACAGATTCCTGGATCCTAGGACTTCCTGTATCAGCAGCCATAAGGTATACAGGCTTGATTGTGTGTACAAGTGATGTGTGCCAGTGACTTTAAGGGGACTGCTCTATTTGATTACGTTTGTTGATATTTGCAGTATCGGGACTGTGATGACTTGAAGTAGTTTTAAAAACAGTTATAGTAATTTTTTTTCTAAAGTTTGCTTCTTGTTCAGTAAAAATTTTTGAAAATGCTTTTTTTCCCATCAATGGCTTGAGATTGCCATCTATTGATCATGATTTTAATTGCAGCTTTTTTATTTGGGTGTTCTTGTTTTAGTCAAATTTAGGTGTATTTTATGATGCTGATGATATGAAGAATAGTAATACTTAGTTCTTATGTAGTGCTTTCCATTACTAGATTTCCCATGTTTTTATAGGGGTAGGTAGATATCATTATATCAGTGGGATAGGGTTGGGTGGGAAGTGGTTTAGGTTCCCTCTCTTGAGTTACTTAAACTTTGACTGATAAAATAAAACTAAATAAAAAAATGCTGTAGGGAGAACCTTGCATTGAACAGCAAAGGGCTAGGGCCTCAATCCTGTGAACATTTGTGCGACTAACTTGAGAAGTGTGTGCGCCACCAGTGAAGTCAGTAGATGGCTCACGTGTAAGTATTTGGAGAGGTATAAATGAAAACTTATATCTATAACTTTAATTCAGTGAATGTAGTATTAAGACTCATAAGCCAGGGGACTAGTTTGTTGACATACATGTCATGCTTGTCATTTTAAGGAATGAAATCTGATATTTTATAAAATAATAGAAACAACTGCAAATCTGTAAACTGAAAATTAGCTGCGACACAAATACATTTACATTGTATTTATGATTAGAAAAATGAGTTAAAAATTAACTTGTAGTTTGCCCTACAGATCCTTCTCTTTGTACAGTTTAATTATATACTTAAAAGTAATTCACTGAAATTATGAATAATTGTGTAAATCTGGCTTTAGTGCTGTTTGTAGAGTGGGAAAGGATTGTAAAAGAAACTTTTTTCACAGAGACAAAGATGCCTGTGTTAATGTTGAAGAACTGTCTGTCTGTCTTTTGATAAATCTAGGTAAGAGGTTTTTTGGTTTTTGGATTTTTTTTTTTTTTGTAATAAGGTTGCAGGCTTTGGAGAGTAGAATACTGGATTCTTACTCACTGCTGATTGGAAGTTTAATGTCAAAATTACCTTTTCCTCCCAAATGCATTGTCTTAGGATATTAGCTTGAGTTATACACTTCCTACATTCATTTGGAACTAAACTATCTCTTTGTCCTATTAATATCTAATGCTGTGCTTGCATGAATCAGAGTTTTAAGTCCATCGTATCTCATTTGATTCTGAAGTATCCAGCAGGCTTTCTTGTTCTTCTGGAATATTGTATAATGGTCTCTGTAATTGCAGTTATCCATTTATTTGTCATGGGGAGTTGGGGAATCAGTTTTTGTTCATGTACATAATAGTATCAATATATCAATAGCTACATTTAATTCGACACCCTCATCCTCTTTCCATGCTGATTATGTGAACAAAGCTGATGCTCTGTGTTTGATAGTTAGCCATGGGGGAACTTGAGAGGATAGAATGTTTTACACAGCTGCTCTCCCATCTACTTAACTATTTAATTCCCATCTATGGAAAGAAGGCATGGATTTACTTGACTAGTAGATTACAAGTAGTAGTACAAGGCCCAGAAGTTTAAAAAATATGAATCGGTTCCAACAATTTCAAGATTACATAAAAAATACTTGTTTTGGGGAAACTTTTATTTGTTGTCTTGGTTTTGAGCATTTACCATGTGCTTGGGTCATATTTCTGAGCTTATCTCCTTCAACTGTGAAGGCAAACATTTAATTTTTTTTTACAGATACAAGCTAAGATTTTCTCATAATTGCATTGCTCCAGAAGCTGTGGCTTTGAATAAAGTACAAAGTACGGTGAGGCTGTGAGCAGCACTGATGAATGGAGAATTTCTGCTTCTACAGTGCCAGTTCCTTAATCTGTAATCTTTTAAAATTACAGAGAGCATATAAAACAAATAAAAATGCCCTAATGACCAGTGATTTAGAATGTTTATCCACTTACAGCCTGACTAGATTGTAAGTGATTGTTTTAAATGAGAAAACTATTCTCTGTCTTCCTTTCTTTTTGTCAAGTGACCTTTCCCTGGGACAAGTTAATTTGTGCCACCTGTGGTGCATGTGTATGGTTTGAAAATTGCTGTGGGAAACAGGTTAATAGACTTTTTTCTTTTTCTTTAAAATTTAATCTCGTTACAGATGGGAAGATAGTATTGCCGGGCAACCTCTTGCCCCTCACTTTCTATGGTAGACCTTGCAGCCTCATGTTGATGAAGGTGAAAGGAACAGATGGGGCCCTGTTGGAAATGCAGGGCAGCAGTGCTTTCAACAAAGAACAAGAGACAACCCTTGAGAAGTCTGACTTGGAAACTAGTGCACTACATTTATCCTTACAGCTCAGCAGCTTGGACATAGAAGACAAGCTAGAAGATGCACTTACCAGTACGCCATGCAGATCAATGGATCAGTGTTCATCAGTTGCATCCAGTGATACTGTAACAGGGGCTGAGCAGATTTGTGCTCAGGTTGATGAGCTATGTGATGAGCAGAATGTCAGAAGCCTCACTGATGGTTCTGAATCAGCTGGAGAAGTCCTCGAGAAAACACTGCTGCATGGCAAAAAAGGAACAAAATGCAATTCTGATACATTTTACTTCATTTCTTCAAGAACAAAGGTCAATTTTATTGAGACTCGGCCCACTGTGACAGAACAGGATTGTAAATCCAGAGTTACCTATGATATGATAGGTGGTTTAAGCAGCCAGTTAAAAACTATTCGAGAGACATTAGAATTGCCTTTGAAGCAGGCTGAACTGTTCAAGAGTTATGGTATGATGTTTAGATATTGGCATACTTTACCTAATACAGTGTTTTTTCTTTAATTGAGCACTTCAATCATTATGTGCTGCTATTAATTTATATTTCTCAGCGTGTGAGAAAATGTATGTTTCTCAGGGTATCTTCACACAATAGAAAATTTGATGCATTTATTTATTGTGGCAACTTCAATGAAAAGTATACTACTTGGGACATTCTATAATAAGGCTGGACAGCATGTGATTTTTTTAAAATATAATTTATATAATTATATAACAAATTATATAAAAATCACATGCTATCCAGCCTTATTATAGAATGTCCCAAGTAGTCACCTGACCTTTTATATACGTGTGTACATGCACGCGCGCGCGCACACTCTCTCTCTCTCTCTCTCTCTCTCTCTCTCTCTCTCTCTCTGTATGTGTTCAGGCATGTATAGCAGATATAGATATTATTTATTAAGGGGCATTGCTCCCCAAGGTTTGGCTCCTCTATTTTATCTCTACAAGGCTTGCTCAGATGTGTTATTCATTTTACCTTCTATTAGTGTAAGGATGCAGTGACAGAGTAACTGTTTTTTGTCTGAGGAAGATTTGAAGCATCTCTCTCCATCACACATCATTTTTTTCCTTCAAACACTTTAAAATGGCACTTAATAGAAATCTAAGTCTTCTCTCCTTTGCCTGTCTCCTGAAAAATAATACTTCTGCTGCTCCCTCATCCATACTGCTTTGGTCTTGACTGATTCTTGAATTGTGATCCCTGCTTAGCTTTGAATTAATGTTACTGCTTTCCTGTCATAACAGCCATTTTTTTTTACTCTTCGTTAGTTCCATATAGAAGTGCAGTGACATCTTGTGAACTTCTGTGGCTTTGGAGAGTTGTGAATAAGAACATTTGATTTATGTCTAAATCTGTCTTTGTGCTGGGGCTTCTTAAATTAGTACTAGTATGGAATTTTTTTCCCCTCTTGAGTGTAAACATTGGATTTGTCCTGTCTTGGATATAAAGAAAATTGGGTTACCCTGTTTCACTTCTACCAGGCTTTCTTTATTGAGTAATTTAATATTGTTCCCCTAAATATATGAACAGGGAACAAAATATTGGCATGCAGTTCTTAAATTCTGTCAAATATGGATTTAATATTTCTAAGATGTGTGAGAATCCATAGCATTTGGAGCTGAATTAATTGCTTATTAAAAATGAAACAAATCACTAAATATTAAATTGTCACCTTCGTTATTAGCTGCAGATACTTTTAGGAAAGAGCATATTCCATTCCACAAAGTTTCTTTCTGTGTACAGAAAAGTAGCCATAAGTTTAAATTGGTTATTGTTTACTCATAGATGAAATCACATTGCTTGGGATATTATAAAGCAAGTTTAGATAAAGTTCTGAAAACTATGTTATAGGAAATTTAATCTTTTATTTTCATCCATAATTTCTTATAAGAAAACTAAAATTTTGAAGGAAGTTTTCTAGAGCAGGAATATAGGGAGGTGAAAATGTGGCATGGTTGCTACTTTTACAAGTTTTGGATTAAACCCCGTCACTTGCTTTGACTCCTGAAACAGTTCTGGTCAAGAGATTGCACTTTGTGGAGAAGAGCCTATAAAGGTGTCACAGATATCCAGGTCTCACCCTTGGAGGGACCATACTTATAGCAGCAGTAAGAGGCTTGCTTGCCTTCCTGTAGCATTGCCCAGAGAAATCTGACCTCCAAACCCATGAATCAGCTGAGAGTATGTGGATATAAGGTAGAGGTTAGAGTTGTTTATTATGGAGGTCTTCTGTATAGTTTCTCTGATTTGCTTCTTTACCTGGGCATCTTTTATGGGGAAGAGGAACTCATGGATCACAGAGGCAAGCTGTATAAGACAGTGATACATATGTCAGTGTATACTGTGTAGGGGTTCCCGGTGGGTTTCCCAGGCATGGTATTGTGGACACTCATATTCTGTTTTACCAGTTCCTGACCTCCAGGCCTCCCACAGTTTTAAGATACACCAGCTATTTTCCTTTGGTCAGGGATGAGATGTAAAACCAGCCCAATGCCCCTTCATCATTCCACAAATGGATTTGCCTGATTGTGGATATTTACACTGGTTATCAACCTTGAGTAGGTGGCTATCTGCGTAGGAATTGCTATAGGAGATCAAACCAGACTATTGGTAAATATGGTCCAGTACCCTGGTCAGCAACAGATGCATTACAGAAATATGCAATAAATCCAGTAGGGCTGTGCGAAGCTTCAGTTGCTGATTCAATTCGGAGGAGATTTCACAGTCGAATCTCCAAATCGAATTGGGAGATCAATGAAAAGGTCTGAATCTGTCTGGAGATTTGGGCAGTCCCCACTTGCCACTGCAGGGAGCTAGACCTGAGCTCCATGCTGGTATGTGGACAGGGGGAGGGGTTGGAGGAGGGGGAGAGGACCATGGGGGGACCCCTACTAGGCCCCATCCCCTGCTTGCTCTCCTATCCCCCCTGAGTGCCCTCTGATCTCACCCGTTCTACTAGCCACGTCAGTGGTTACCCCGTCCAGCCCCAGAGTCCTGGAACTTTAAAAAAAAAAAAAAAAAAAAAAAAAAAAA